AGTAGAAGCTCAAACTGTTTGGGCACAGACCTGGATAGTACGATAGAGCTCTGCAGGCTATCTCTACAGTAGATTGCAACCCCACCCCCTTTGGCAGTTCTATCGAGACAGAAAATGTTGTAGTTGGGGATGGACATTTCTGAATTTTTGGTGGCCTTCCTAAGCCAGGATTCAGACACTGCTAGAACATCAGGGTTGGCGGAGTGTGCTAACGCAGTGAATAACTAAAACTTAGGGAGGAGGCTTCGGATGTTAACGTGCAAGAAACCAATGCTTTTACGGTTACAGAAGTCAACGCCTGGGGAGTAGGAGTGATACTGGGGGCTACAGGGCCTGGGTTAACCTCTAAATCACCAGAGGAACAGAGGAGGAGTAGAATAAGGATATGGCTAAAGGGTTGAAGTACTGGTCTTCTAGTGCGTTGGGTACAGAGAAAAAAAGGGGCAGGTTTCCGGGCGTTGTAGAATAGATTCAGGGCATTATGTACAAAAAAGGATATGGAAGGATATGAGTACAGTGGAGGTAAACCTAAGCGTTGGGTAACGATGAAAGAGATAGCATCACTGGAGGCACCGATTGGGTGGGACAAAGGTGCTTTCTATGGCAGGTTGAGCTGGGCTGGCTGATCTACAGTGAAATAGTACAATAAGAAATAACCGAAACAGCAATAAGCAAGGCATATTGACATGGGAGAGAGGCATAAAGCAATCACAGGTGTTATTCGAGAGAGCTAAGACAACAGCTGGTAATAGCGACAAAGTTTGGGCTGAGGCTAAACATAAACAGGATGCGGTACCTTATAAAGGAACAGTCCAGCAGGCATCAGCTGTATAGCTGAGTTATCATAAGGTCCGGTGAACAGCAATAGGAGAGTTCGGAGGTAGTTCGGGGGCTGCTATAGCACTAGCGAGCAAGAGGCCACGGCTAGCGTGTGCTAGCTGGCCGGGGCTAGCAGATGGATCTTCATGGTCGACGTCGTAACGGGAAACCTGTTGTAATCACATCAGACGATTTTGTCGGCAGACCAGTCGTATTGGATCGGCGGGGCTCCGTGTCAACACTAGGAGGTCCCGTCCGGTTGACAGAGAGGTAGATAGCCGGGAGAAGGGCCTGGCTCGCGGCTAGCTCAAGGCTGATTAACCAACAACAACGTCCATTTCATTGCAGCTATCTAGCTACGATGATCCAGTGTTAAAGGTCCAGTGAATCAGTGATTCCGGCAGAAAAACCGATATGTTATGGGTCGATAACGCGCTGTGCAGACAGTGCAGACTGGCCAATCATTGGTATTGTTCTTACTGTATAATGAACAACCTGCCTGAACTCTGAATTGCTTTGGCTAAGTGAGCAGAGTAGGCATTGTCTACTCTTCAGATGATCCAGAGAAGGGACTTGTACTACAGTAGTTTGGCTGTGCCTCGGAGAGTCCCTGGGTCAAGAGCAAAGTCAAAGGCATCACATCACCCACTCTGGCTGGTCCTGAGAGCTGAGGGAAAATGACTGGGGAATGCCAAGGTCAACTGGAAAGCAAACGGCACAACAACATGGCCCTAACAGCCTTTTATCCCTTGTCACAGTGGCACTACATTATTCCTAGTGATGGGGGGAAAAAATAGATACATTTCCATATCGTAATATAATTTGTTATGATATATCGTATCATATCGTTTTGACAATATCGCAATATTATTTTTGTGCTAGTTGGCTGTACATTCACCAAAACTTCAGTGTTTTTCCTTCATAGCTCGTTCTCCATCTTCTTTTTAAATAGGGAGCCAATTTGTTTTCAGCAATTTTATTCCCATGACTGATCAAAAATCATCTCTCTTGTCCCTCTGCAGCAGACATATGGTGAGCAATATGTTTGGACCATGGAATCGCATATCAAATCCTAGTATCGAATCGCAATACATATAGAATCGTGAGAATCACAATACATATAATTTGGCACCTAAGCATTGTTAATATCGTATCATGAGGTCCCTGGCAATTCCTAGCACTAATTGTTCCCGTGTAATGAGAATGGAAGCTGAACAAATTGGTTCTATGGTAATGCCTTAACCTCGACAGAATGAGAACGGAGAAAGACCGAAGTATACTCCATTTGCTGTGTTCTGTAATTTGGTCAGGCTAAATTCAGTGTATTCGTGTTCAGCCTATATTTTTCTTCTTCCACCGGCTGAATACTGAGAGGCTTTTAAGCATTATTGTGCTTTTGGTGTGTTGACAGCTGAACTTACTTGTCCAGGCAGGTGGTTTGTGGCCACAATGTGTTTGGTGCAATCTCTATGACATTCTCTGGGGCGGAACACTTCTCTGTATTCATTTGTTCTGGCAGGTTGAGCTATCTGTTAGCATGTTTTTCTTTCTCTCATTTTCTCACCATTCATTCATTAATTCAATAAAGGACAGGAAGACATTTGTTGAGCATTCAGCTACAGAGTATTTTAGTTTCTGAAAGGAAAGCAACCTTGTGAATTGTTGCCCATAAGATACACCATAGCATTGGCAAGGTTTTCTAAAAACCTTTTATATATTTTTTGTTACATTATACAGTAATTTAACTGTGGCCTTGGGAGGCTGTATTTCAGTGCCTTCATGGTTGTATAAGTATACTGATAAAAAGCATGGTAGAGGTGCTGACTAACGGCGAGAAAACGGTATGCTATTAAAATAAATAAAGAGTCGCACACTCTATATACAAGCTCCCAGTAATTTATTGGGTAAACCACCAATTTTTCGGCATCACTGTGCCTTCTTCAGGGTAATGTAATTTACATTTTTGTCATTTAGCAGACGCTCTTATCCAGAGCGACTTACAGTTAGTGAGTGCATACATTTTTCATACTGGCCCCCCGTGGGAATCGAACCCACAACCCTGGCATTGCAAGCGCCATACTCTACCAACTGAGCTAAAGGAGGTTAATGCTTGAACAAGGTTATGTAGACAAACAGTGCAATTAGTGCAACCAATGACAATAGTGAGGGGTGTGTCATAGTTATTAGGGTGATGAGAATGAAAACATTTAACTGTTAAAAGACAATAGTTTACAGCATGTTGAATATATTAGGCTATTTTTATCATACTGCAACATTGTTTCCATTTCATTTTATCTTTGTAACATGTCATCTTTTGATTAAACCGTAATGCATAATAAGCATCATCAACAATTATTATGCATTACGGTTGAACCAACTGATTACATGTAACAAAGATTCAATTAATTGTAAACAATAAAACATGTATATGAAATTAAATAATAATGTATGTTGATGCTATTACTATGTACAATATCTAATTATGTTGCAATATAATAACAATAGCCTAATATATTCAACATGCTGTAAACTATTGTCTTTTAACAGTTTAATTTTTTCATTCTCATCACCCTAATAACTATGACACACCCCTCACTACTGTCTACATAACCTGGTTCAAGCATTCAGGACATTACTCTGAAGAAGGCACAGTGATGCCGAAACATTGGTGGTTTACCCAATACATTACTGGGAGCTTGTCTATAAGTATGTACTTGACATATCATGAAAAAAAGTAGGCTAACCTTGGTCTTTTGAAGTGTGGATACATAGGGTAGAAAGCAGACTGATGTAACCGCTACAGTATGTGTAGGACTGTCAAGTAAGTTATAAGGACACTTCATACATTGGAGTGAAGCCATTTCACACAGGTGCTCTAAAATGTTCTCTCTTTTCAACTATATGTTCTGAGTAAACGTATCCTGCTGTTTGTCTGTTTATTGAATGTCACTGTACTCGTTAACAAGACATACTGTACTAATAATCTCGGATAAACCTTTAAGGCACAGAACCAATATGTCCTGACTGGTTAATCCACACATTCATTGATTCAATGTGTGGGGGATGGGTTGACTCGTATTTTCACCTAAGGTTATCACATCTCAAAAATCTTGGGAAATAACCTTCTTTGAGACGAGTCGTCTTACTGTAATCCATGTGATCCCAATAACTGACAAATGCCTGAGTGTTCCAGAATAACTAGTTAACCCCCAACCGTGTGACACCATGCACAGTTAACTATGGCATGTCAGACCCTGTGTCCTTCCGTTTAGCGGTGGTTGTTCCAGCCAATGTTCCACCGAGGACACTTTGCTTTCAGTACTGAGTGAGCTATGCTCTGGCTATTTTCCCCTTGGCCTTCCTCTTGTACAGGTGCACAATGTACAGTATGGTCAATCTGTTCTCTTTTCCTTCTAGCCCTTGTTCAGTCTTCAGGGTAAGATTAGGGCAGATGGCATTCTCCTTTGTAATGCTGTGAAGCGAGTAATGCGCCATAGCAGCGCCTCTGGCCAGAGCACGGTGTTTAGGTGCGGGTCTAGCTGAAAGTAGAGGAGGTAGGAGAGAAGGAGGGGGTGGCATGCTGATAGTTCAGAGAGGGGCAAGGCAAGCTTGCTTATGTGTTAGCATATCAAATGGGGTAATGAACCAGCACAGGGGTGAAACATGTGGATGAAGACATTAGGGGGGTTTGGCAAACATTGTATTAAAGCTGATTGTAATTCTGGCTGAAACCCTTTATAAATGATTTATTAACATGAAGTGATACTCATTTTGAAGAAATCAATGTTCCTTATCCTGTACAACAAGTCAGACTGTCTTTTCCTGCCTTCAACCTGAATGAAAGTGACCGGCATCTTATCCATCCAAGATTGGATTGATGCTGTTGAGGAAGAATACTGTCTGAGGGTGTCTCAGGGAGAGATGGGATATGCAAAAAACACATTTCCAATTCATACATGCGTATTCATACACACGTGTACATGTGTGAAATAGGACAAATATAATAAGCACCCACCAAATTATTATTATTATTATTATTATTATTATTATTATTATTATTATTATCAATACATACAGTATCTACTCTAACAGACAATGTTTATTTATGGATATTTGTGTGATATAAATTAGCATTCTCGTCTTGCCATTACCCAGGTGTCATCAGGACAGCCCTATCCAACATGGACAGAGAGGCCAGGGAGCGCTACTCTGTGGTGGTCCAAGCCAAAGACATGGCCGGCTCGGTGGGTGGGTTGTCAGGCTCCACCACTGTCAATGTCACACTGACAGACGTCAATGACAATCCTCCCAAATTCCCCCAGAGTATGTAGACATACGTCTTATTGTTTGTTTGTTTTTCTACCTCACTGTTTGTCCTTATATATTGATTCTCTGCTGTAATAAAACACAATATTTATATAGCGCTATATCGAACGCTATATAGGATTTTAAAACACAAAGATGCTTGTACTGTAAGTAATGCACGATAGAAATAGAATCAATGAATCTGTTATTCTGTTGATGTGTAATGCACAGCCAAATGTTATTTTAAAAACAATTTCAAAAGTTGTAGCCTATAGTAGATGTTTCGCTAATGTGGGAGTGGCTATAAGTGATACAAACATGATGTGGTGTGTAGATGATCGTTGAATCGCAAGCAGGCAGGAAATGTGATTAATTTACCCATTTATTCACATTTACAGCTAGCTGGTATGCATAAACAGTAGGTTAATTATTCCTCCATCTAGTCATAAATGCTTTATCATACATGCCAAGATAATAACTTCTTGCTTATTCATGTGCTCATCCCATTAAAGAAAACTACCAGCTGTACGTTCCAGAGTCTGCTCAGATTGGAAAAGCTGTGGGTAAAATTAAAGCCAATGATGAAGATTTGGGCGTTAATGCAGAGATGAGGTACAGCATAACCAATGCAGAGGGGACAGCCATGTTCTCCATCACTACAGACACTGACCAGAAGGAAGGCATCATATCACTAAGACTGGTACAGTACAGTTCTGATGCTCACCTTCATTCTATAACAACAACAACAACAACAACAACAACAACAACACCTATGGTTATGGTTCATGTAATAGTCCACTTTTTTAAAGATCGATATAAAATCTATTTTTTTTTCAAATCTATTTTTATTTGTCACATGCGCCGAATACAACAGGTGTAGACCTTACTGTGAAATGCTTACTTACAAGCCCTTAACCAACAATGCAGTTAAGTAATAAACTAAAGTAAAAAATTAATAAAAAGTAACACAATAAAATAACAATAACGAGGCTATATAAAGGGGGTACCGGTACCGAGTCAATGTGCGGGGGTACAGGTTAGTTGAGGAAATCCACAGATAATATGGTAATTACATAATAATTGCTTAATAAATATGCCAGGTAGTTACCAATTGTTAAATACTATTATTAAGTACCCATCGTTACCACATACTTTCTCAAATACTAGCAGAGACAGGACTGTAAAACAAAAAGCACTGCTTTGAAAAGAGGATTGATTGCTGGTTTCCTCCGCAGCCTTTGAACTATGAGAAGAGGAAAGTCCACACGCTTCACATAGAGGGAGTGAACACACACCTGGATCCACGCTTCTCCCACCTGGGTGCCTTCAAAGACACCACCACCCTCCAGATCATCATCGGAGATGTGGATGAGCCGCCTGTCTTTTCCATAGACTATTACATCATGGATGTATACGAGAACTCCCCCGTGGGAACAGAGGTCGGCACAGTGACGGCTCAGGACCCTGACAGTACCAAAAGCCCTGTAAGGTAAATTACATGCATGGGGCGAACATTTTGTGGGCATCTAAAACACCATCACAAGAATGAAAGCTTCTACCTTTGCACATTGAAAGTAATATGTTTTGAACGAGAAATTCAACAGCATCATTTGATTTTCAATTCAATCAAATTCAAATAACTTTATTTAATTCATTCTATTTTAATTGTTCCCTCTCCTACATGTAGGTATTTTATAGACCACAGTGAAGAGGAGCAGGTGTATTTCACCATTGGTTTGAATAACGGGGTGATCAAAACCACCCGGAGTCTGGACAGAGAGGATGTGGCCTGGCACAACATCACTGTGATGGCATCAGAGGTTGGTAAGTACCATAATACACAGAAGATCATCTTCCATTATTTTATTTTAAATAATTACAACTTTATCATGGCTTTCAAAATGGAGGATAAAATATGCTCACGACCCTGCATGAAGACATCATGTCACTTTAATAATATGTATCAGTATTAAACACATGGCTCACTAAAATGAACAGCCAGCAGTGGCTTTTGGGATTGATGCCGGGGCTGCATGTAACATCATAGTGTGATGCTGAAGGTGGTCGGGTCAATCAATTTTTATTTTCCCTCTCTTTTTCCACTGATGCTTATCTAAGCAATTACCCTTTCCTTTACCCTTTTCTGTACAATGTTGTTCAGCTAATGGACTGAACTAGCCATTGATAAATGTCAGCTGACACTGCGCTGATGATATTAAGTCACCATCATTAATGGGAAAACCAGTCCGCACCTTTCTGGAGACTGGTGTTTGTTAATGAGGGATTCATGACTTACATAAACACTATACATATAGTGCAGAGTACAGTGCCTTCAGAAAGTATTCATACCCCTTGACTTATTCCACACTTTGTTGTGTTACACCCTGAAATCAAAATGGATTAAATATATTTTTTCTCTCACCCATCTACACCCATAATGACAAAGTGAAAACATGTTTTTTTGACATGTTTGCAAATGTATAAAAATTAAATACAGAAATATGTAATGTACATAAGTATTCACACCCCTGAGTCAATACATGTTAAAATGACCTGTGGCAGCAATTACAGCTGTGAGTTTTTCTCAGTGATGTGTTGTGTTGGATTTACCCCAAACATAACGCTTTGTGTTCAGGACATAAAGTTAATTTCATTGCCACATTCTTTGCAGTTTTACTTTAGTGCCTTATTGTAAACAGGATGCATGTTTTGAAATATGTTTATTCTGTACAAGCTTCCTTCTTTTCACTCTGTCATTTAGGTTAGTATTGTGGAGTAACTACAATGTTGTTGAACCATCTTCAGTTTTCTCCTATGACAGCCATTAAAATCTGTAACTGTTTTAAAGTCACCATTGGGGTTCATGGTGAAATCCCTGAGCGGTTTCCTTCTTCTCCAGAAACTGATACACCATCCAAAGTGTAATTAATAACTTCACCACGCTCAAAGGGATATAAATTACAATGTCTGCTTTTTTTTTTTTACCCATATACCAATAGGTGCCCTTCTATGCAAGGCATTGGAAAACCTCCCTGGTCTTTGTGGTTGAATCTGTGTTTGAAATTCAGTGCTCGACTGAGGGACCTTACAGATAATTGTATATGTGGGGTACAGAGATAAGGAAGTCATTCAAAACTCATGTTAAACAGTATTATTGCTCACGGAGTGAGGCCATGCAACTTATTATGTGACTTGTTAAACAATTTTTTACTCCTGAACTTATTTAGGTTTGCCATAACAAAGGGGTTGAATACTTATTGACTCAAGACATTTCAGCTTTTTATTTTTAATGAACTTGTAAACTTTTTTAAAATCATATTTCCACTTTGACATTATTAGGTATTGTGTGTAGGCCATAGTGACATAAAATCGAATTGTAATCCATTTTCAATTCAGGCTGTAACACAACAAAATGTGGAAAAAGTCAAGGGGTGCGAATACTTTTGGAACAATGTTCCCTCTAAACTGCGGGCGTGCACTCGGACGCACTAGCCCCGGGACTGCCCCGCAGAAATATCAGCCCACAAAGAGAATCAGGGGATTGAACTTCACTCAACTTTCTAGAGCAGTGGTCACCGACTAGTCGATCTCCAAGGCATTCCTAGTCGATCGGCAAACATTTCTGTAAAACGTGTCTGCAGTAACGTAGCAGGCATAAAAGAAAGCTACAGCAAAGTTGATATTGTGAGATTTCAAAACGTTTAAAACCATGACTACAGAGAGACTGTCAACGAATACAGCAAAGAGATGTATTATTTGAAAAATTATTTGAAAAAATGGCCCAAACAACAATGCATTCATTGGCAGGGCAATTCAAGCAAAGCCAACATGCAGTGATAATGCATTGGGCATATAGCTTACTGCACAAACCTCATTGCTACAGTACTGTTTTTAAATGGTTAATGTTGCATAGGCTTACTTTTTTAAAGCAATGTAAAAAAAGAAATCTGACTCAAAGTGATCTTGACTCAAAAAAGGTTGGTGACCAGTGTTCTAGAGGTTTTCCTGTTAACACTATCAACGTTTCCCTTTATTGTGGCTTTTGTGATCTAATCAACGCAATATTACCCACTTTCAATGCAACATACCAAAACAAAACAAACTATGCAACATATTTTGTTGTAGGCAGAACACATAGAGTAGGATTCTATTGCATTGAGATGCACTACTCAGTCCGTACTTTACACAGACCGGTGCGGCATAAACAATCAGAGCTGCAGTAGGCCTATATGCAAATAGACCATTGCCATATATGGATCTGTGCCATTTACTTTGAACTGGACTGTGTTTACCGCATGAGCGGTCATGAGTAGATGCAGTTGTTTTGAGATCAAAGCGAGAGCTGCATGTAGCCACGTGTGCACATTTTGTTCATATCCTGTGCTAGTTAGTGATTTATTAGCCCAGTTATAGATTATTTCTAGTCAGCAAATGTGTACATTTCTAGATATTTTTGAAAAGCGAGTCAGGTAAAGAGCTTTTTTTTGTCTTAAAGGGGCAGTGTTCTATTTTGAGACAGGCTTGAATAAGCTAAATAGCCAATAGGCAGAGGGTAGCATAATTTGTCTGATTCTCTGTAATAATGGTATGGGAATAATAATGCATTTTATTTTGTAAAGTGGTTTCTTGCATCAAACACAACAACATTTTCAGTCACCTCCTTGTCTGAAGGACAAGTGGATAAACAGGTTGGTGTCAAGCCATCTATGTTTTTGTTTTTTTAAGGCTCATGGAATGTAGGCCTACATTGAATACCACACATTGGCTTCTACTGTAAGCTGAATGATAGAACAGCTATTTCTATGTTAAAATGTTATTGGATGCATTTTCTCCATAGTTTTTTATGGTAGGCCACTCTGGTAGCCCTACATTATGATCAAATAGCCACAGTAGCCTACATGACCACTGTTAAACTGTAACTTAAAGCAGGTACAGCCTCAGTGTTCACAGTAAACACGCGCTAGAAGTTGCACAGGATTTTCACAACGTTCAAGTTTGTGCTCAGCAGACCTGAAATCTGCTCAGTGCCCCAAAACATTTTGAGGGAACATTGTTTCTGAAGGCACTGTATATTAGCAAACTGTCTCTTGAAATGTCCTGTGTGCTAGCTATATGTTAAGTGAGACAAACGACTGTGCAACCACACAGCATGTCTCTGTTCCATTCTGCCTACTGCTGTAGCTTTGGGTTAGCACCTCTCCTGTCACGACTCTAGTTGTTGGTGGTCGTTGTGGCTGTAATTTATGGATGCGTGAAATAGGAACATGATTTCTCTCCATGCGGTCTCAACTCCGTGAGAGGTACTGACTAAACCCGCACCAAAGGTAAACTAGCTAGATCCTGAAAAGATTGGCGCCGGAGGGGATGGCTGCCGTTTCACGGGCTCCTAACCAATTGTGCTATTTTTTTCTTTTTTTTATGTCATTGTTTGTAACCTATTTTGTACGTAATGTTGATGCTACTGTCTCTTATGACCGAAAAGAGCTTCTGGATATCAGAACAGCGATTACTAACCTCGAACTGGACTAATCATTTTTCTTTAATGAGTCTGACGTGAAGGATATAATGTTTCTCCCAGACAATGCCCAAATCCCCATCATTCGCATGAAGTAAATAAGGAAAAATAGGGGGCGGAGATCAGGGTGCCTTGTGAGAATTCGTCAGCGAGTGGGTAACCCACCTCTACCATCCGTTCTATTAGCCAACGTGCAATCACTGGATAATACATTGGATGAGCTCTGTTCGAGACTATCGGACCATGGGACCTTAAAAACTGTAATATCTTAAGTTTCACTGAGTCGTGGCTGAATGACGACACAGATAATATACAGTTGGCTGGGTTTTCCGTGCGTCGGCAGGACAGAACAGCTACGTCCAGTAAGACGAGGTGCGGGGGTGTGTGTCTATTTGTCAATAACAGCTGGTGCGCGATGTCTAATATTAAGGAAGTCTCGAGGTATTGCTTGCCTGAGGTAGAGTACCTCATGATAGCTGTAGACCACACTATCTACCAAGAGAGTTTATCTATATTTTTCAAAGCCGTATATTTACCACCACAAACTGACGCTGGCACTAAGACTGCACTCAGCGAGCTGTATAAGGCCAAAGCAAACAAGAAAATGCTCAACCAGAAGCGGCGCTCCTAGTGACCGGGGACTTTAATGCAGGGAAACTTAAATCAGTTTTACCAAATTTCTACCAGCATGTCAAATGTGCTACCAGAGGGAAAAAAAACTCTAGACCACCTTTACTCCTCACACGGAGACGCGTACAAAGCTCTCCCTCACCCTCCATTTGGCAAATCTGACCATAATACTATCCTCCTGATTCCTGCTTACAAGCAAAAACTAAAGCAGGAATTACAAGTGACTCGCTCAATACATTTACATTTTAGTCAATTTAGTCAATACGGAAGTGGTCAGATGACACGGATGCTACGCTACAGGACTGTTTTGCTAGCACATACTGGAAAATGTTCCAGGATTCATTCAATGGCATTGAGGAGATACCACCTCAGTCAACAGCTTCATCAATAAGTGCATTGACGATGTCATCCTCACAGTGACTGTACGTACATATCCCAACCAGAAGCCATGGATTACAGGCAACATCCACACCGAGCTAAAGGCTAGAGCTGCCGCTTTCAAGGAGTGGGACACTAATCCGGACGCTTATAAGATATCCCGCTATGCCCTCAGACGAACCATCAAATGGGCAAAGCGTCAATACAGGACTAAGAATGAATCCTAATACACCGGCTCTGACGCTCGTCGGATGTGGCAGTGCTTGCAAACTACTACAAAGGGAAACCCAGCCATGAGCT